AAGACCTGCGACTCTATCTGCGCGACTCCACTGAGCAAGGACACCTGCAAGGCACTTAAAGTATCTTCTTCACCCTTTCCTTTCCTACCTTTATCTTATTTCCCATTATCATTATGTGCTTTGAACACATTCCTGTTGTCTCTCGACAACGCTCTCTCACCACGCACAGAAGGCAGCGCAATACTGCTTATCTGCGCCCGTTTCTTTCATCCTCACACTCACCTCTCACTCTTTCTATGGGTCTATGGAATTGTCAATCAGCAGTCAATAAAGCTGACTTCATTCCAGCCTTTGCATCTCATTCTACTCTTAATATCTTGGGCTTGACTGAGACCTGGATCCGTCCAGAAGACTCAGCAACCCCTGCTGCTCTCTCTAACAACTTCTCTTTCTCTCACACACCTCGCCAGTCCGGGAGGGGTGGGGGCACTGGTCTTCTTATTTCTAACAATTGGAAATATTCACCTCTCTCTTCTCTATGCAATAACAACTCATTTGAATATCATGCTATTACACTTACAACTCCCATGAAGATCCATATTGTAGTTATTTATCGCCCCCCAGGTCAACTAGGAAGCTTTGTAGAAGAGCTGGATGTGTTGCTGTCCTCTCTCCCTCAGGATGGCATCCCACTTGTAGTCTTTGGCGATTTCAACATTCACCTAGCGAAGCCGTATGCAACAGACTTCATCTCTCTCCTAGCCTCTTTCGATCTCAAACGGCTCATCACCACCGGTACTCACAAGTCAGGCAACCAACTGGACCTGGTTTACACACGCAACTGTATCACAGACAACATTTTGGTGAAACCTCTCCAAGTTTCAGATCATTTCCTCATTACTTTCAATCTACAACTCACTACCCATGCTCCACCAACCTCCCCACCATTTACTTTCAGATGAAACCTGCGCTCACTTTCTCCATCCCATCTTTCCTCTGCTGTGTCATCTTCTCTTCCCTCACCCTCACATTTCTCATCTCTGGATGTGAATACTGCAACGGATACTTTATGCTCCATCCTAACCTCTTCTTTAGACAATATCTGCCCTCTCTCCTCTAGGCCAGCACGCACCACTCCCTCTAACCCCTGGTTATCTGAGGTTCTTCGTGAACACCGGACCAAGCTCAGGGCAGCGGAGAGGAAATGGCGCAAATCAAAAGACACATCTGACCTCAGTAGGTATCAATCTCTGCTCTCTGCCTTCTCTGTTGACGTTCACGCCGCAAAATCTTCATATTTCCACAACAAGATCAACAGCGCCTCTAACACACGTTCTCTGTTCAAGACATTCAATTCTCTCCTCTGTCCACCTCCACCACCACCCACCTCCTCTTTAACTGCTGATGATTTTGCTAACTTCTTCACTAACAAAACTACCACTATCAGCAGTCAGTTCTCAGCACAGGAACCCAGACTAACCTCTCCCACAGCCAATAACCTTCTCTCCTCCTTCACTCCACTAACCGAGGAAGAAGTATCTAAACTTCTCCTCTCCAGTCATCCTACCACCTGCCCTCTAGACCCCATCCCCTCACACCTTCTACAAGCCATCTCTCCCACACTTCTACCAGCTCTCACACACATTATCAACTCATCCCTCCACACTGGCATTTTCCCTACAGCATTTAAGCAGGCTCGGGTAACCCCTCTGCTTAAAAAATCAACATTAAACACATCACTTCTAGAGAACTACAGACCTGTCTCTCTCCTACCATTCATTGCAAAAACACTTGAACGAGTTGCTTTTAACCAAGTATCATCCTTCCTGTCTCTGAACAACCAGCTGGATGTCAACCAATCTGGCTTCAAGAAAGGACATTCAACTGAGACTGCATTGCTGTCAGTCACGGAAGCCCTGCGGATCGCAAAAGCTGCTTCCAAATCATCAGTTCTCATTCTACTGGACCTGTCTGCTGCCTTCGACACTGTGAATCATCAGATCCTCTTGTCCGCCCTCTCATCACTGGGCATCACTGGAACCTCCCTCAACTGGTTTGAGTCCTATCTCACAGGTAGGTCTTTCAAGGTCACATGGAGAGGTGAGGTATCCAAAGCACATCAACTGACCACAGGCGTTCCTCAGGGTTCAGTTCTCGGACCGCTCCTCTTCTCCATTTACACCACATCACTGGGACCCATCATACAGGCACATGGTTTCTCTTACCATTGCTATGCTGATGACACCCAGCTCTACCTCTCATTTCAACCAGATGATCCCACAGTAGCTGTACGGATCTCAAGCTGTCTGGCGGACATCTCGGCATGGATGAAGGAACATCACCTGCAGCTCAACCTGGCAAAGACTGAGCTTCTCGTCCTCCCTGCCAATCCGTCTCTTCAGCACGACCTCACTATCCAGGTAGATTCATCCTCAATCACCCCATCAAGGTCGGTCAGAAATCTTGGAGTAATCTTTGATGATCAGCTGACCTTCACAGACCACATTACAAAGACAGCTCGATCATGCAGGTTTGCTATGCACAACATCAGGAAGATCAGGCCTTTCCTAACTGAGCATGCAACACAACTTCTCGTCCAGGCCCTGGTCATTTCTAGGCTTGATTACTGCAATGCTCTTCTGGCTGGACTTCCATCATGTGCAACTAAACCTCTACAAATGATCCAGAATGCTGCAGCTCGTCTGGTCTTCAACGAGCCCAAAAAGGCCCACGTCACTCCTCTGCTCATCTCTCTGCACTGGCTACCACTCGCTGCTCGCATCAAGTTCAAGGCTTTGACGCTTGCTTACAGATTGACCACAGGTTCAGCTCCCTCCTACTTCCACTCACTACTACAAGTCTACATCCCTACCAGAAGCCTACGATCGGTCAATGAGCGACGGCTCGTGGTACCATCACAGCGGGGCACAAAATCACTCTCCAGAACATTCTCATTCACGGTTCCATGCTGGTGGAATGATCTCCCCACCCTCATCCGGAATGCAGAATCCCTGACAACATTCAAAAGACAGCTGAAAACTCATCTCTTCCGGGAGCACTTAACTTAAAAAAAAAAAAAAAAAAAAAAAAAAAAAAAAAAAAAATCCTTTCCTCTAAATCCTCGCTTGCCTGCCTTATGCTACTCCGAGCTATGGCTGAACTTTGTATTTTGAGCACTTCTTGCGTTGCTTTTGCCTCTTCACGATGACTCGCTTGGTTTAGTCCTCAGTTGTAAGTCGCTTTGGATAAAAGCGTCTGCTAAATGACTAAATGTAAATGTAAATGTAAAATGTAAATGTATTTTTTTTTAATTAGCTTGTTGAAAATGTGTTAAATGATGACCTCACTGCAGCTTGTGTCAAATCACAATAGCAAGCAACATTAAATCCACCATCAGAAAAAGTTACACTTTATCTTCCCTCATAATGACAAGCATGTCATTGATCAAATAAATGTACAGAAACCTAAAAGTGAAATGACACTGTTTGATCGGGCCAGGAAATTCATTGGAACAGTTTTAAATGATTCATTACTCAACGTTCTATTGAATAATCTTTGCACTGATGATGTGATGATGAGATGATGATGATGATGGTGATGATGACACATTGTGCTGTTTTAAAATAGGCATGGACCAAAACCAGTATATGAAAGACAGGAGACTAAATAAAACAAGCCTATTTTGGTCTGTTTGCTTCATATCTACTTCATCTATGACGCTAACAGAGGCGGAAAAATGATACAACGGTCTGTGCACGTGTTCTTTCAACTGCTTTGACCAGTGGAATTTATTCACCACATACATAATTTACCTACAAACCTGATCGTACAGATCTTTCCATTCTCATACACAAAAGATTATATAATAAAATATCACAGGTCATGCTATATTGTCAGGACAGTCACTGCTATAGAGGTGTTTTTAAGCACAAGTGCTTTATTGCTTTTTCACATTTATTCATTTTCATTGTAATGTTATATTGCTAAGCAAATTCATCAAATTACATATTTCCTATGGACAATATAGCCTATGATGAAATGTTGCTATGCAGAAAACATAACTATATGTACAGTAAGCCGCACAGTGATATGGCTGAAGAGGTGTTTTGCATCAACATCCAGAACTTGAACCATCCATTTTATAATTAGTTTTAAACTGTGGTGATCTCTGTATTCTTATATCCCTTTTTCATTTTCAACCTCATTGAAGAAGTCCAGTCAAAACGGTGAGCAAAGGTCATCATTAAAGGTGTTTCAAATGTGCTTAAAGCTTTTACAATTAGAGTCAAGTGCTTTTGTGAAAGAAGCATAGAAATAGACAGCTGCACATGTTTTAGCATTGCTCCACAAATGTTTTCTATGGTACAGAGGGTCCTTGAATACAGGAAGTGTGTGGGTTATGAGGCTTGTCTCTCAACTCATCAAAGAGGCTGTTCGCTGTTGTAATGTACGCTACTGAGTTTACAGTCTGAATTTAAAAGAAAAAATTAGTCCGGCCTCTACATTAATTCAAAATAATTGTGCATATGAATTTTGGGTGCATTTACACCATACAGGCCTTATATAAAGAAAGAGTAATTTATGCCTTAATAGCATGAAGCAATGGCAATAAATAATTATAATAAAACATTTTTAGAAAAAAAAGAAAAGTTTTTAGAAAGATGACATTACCTGCACGCTGGTGTGACGTGTTAAACTCCATCTAAAACATTTGAAATAATTATACATATTGCTTTCATGATCTCGTATTTAAGAAACATGGAATATATGTAATATATCAAATTAATTTACACTATAGGACCTTTTGCTGTTAGTAAAAAAAAAACCCACAACTTAAGTCAACTACCCATACAGTACTTTTCAAATAAAATGTAAGAAATATACAATTCTGAATATTCTGGATAATCCTTATGTTGTCTCAGAGTAGCTGTAATAATCTTAAGTACTTTAAGCTGTTTCACGTTCTGATCATCACTTTGCTCTCTTGAGCTCAGGGGTTCTCGGCGGTGTCCCACTCTCATGTAACCACTTCCCCTCGTTCCTGTCTGCAGACTCTCTCAGTTGATCAGAAGTGCTTGACATGTTGAAGGGAGAGTGAGAGCTTTAACCTTCTGCGATCATGAAGGTCTTTCAAACCAGAATCCTGCATCTAAATATATGGGTGTTCATTTATTTACTGACTTATGCAGGTATGTTGTAACATTGTTGTGATTGTTTGTTGGGTTTTGGTGTTGTGTGATGTCCTTGTGTGTGTTAGCGGCGGTGACTAAGGACATGAGCAACAGGTGTGTCTTATGAGCTTTTGGATGCATGTGTTCACACTTGTGTTTTACCTTCTGATGCAGTTATTGTCTTTTCATTAGATTATTCCAAATCAAATCAAGAGCCAAGGATTCGGCAGCACATCCACAAAACAGTGTTTGTGGGGGAAACAGTTACACTTCACTGCAACAAAACCCCACATGATGATCATTTAACATGGAAAATGAACAGCTCTGTTATTTTTAGTTATGACTCGACCAATAACAGAACTATGAGAAACTTCAGCTCAAACAGGATTCACATCAACACAGCCGTTCCAAGAGATTTAAAAATACATCAAATACAAGCGTCTGATGCAGGAAACTACTCCTGTTATCCAGCAGCAATAAGATGGACATTAACAATAACAGGTTATTCCATGATTTCATTTGTTGCTTCTTCAAAAACAATTGCATTTATTATAGAATAAATATAAGTATGTTTGTAACCAGTGACTAGTATCTAGAAGAGTGCTGGTCGACTGATATCATGTGTGTTTGACTCTTTTGTGTGTCAGAAAACAGACCAGCATCACCCAAACAAATGCCTCTCTACATCATCATCATCTCATGTTCTGGAGTTATTATGGTCTTTCTGATAATCACCATCAGCTTCTGCATTCACAGGTGAGAGACATTAACACACTATAAACTGATGAGATCGTTTATTGATTTTAGATTTCATGTATGATGAAGTGACAGTGACCTTTTCATAAATATTAGTAAATATTTGACACACCAGTATGCATATATTTATTTTATCTCTGCTAATTTTATAGATAGAAAAGATGATGAGTAAATATATGCAAATCACATCTCAGTAGTTGTTGTGGTAATATTACACCTTTTTCAAATCTGAGAACAACATGTGATACTGTAAGTTATGTTTACAGGAGATGGAAAAACAGAAAAGATTTAAGTCACAGAGAAACAGGACAGGACTTTGTGAGTTTTTCCCCCATCACTTAAATAGTGAATAAGTTGTAAATGGTCCTTTTCATAAAAACTTAATTTTCTTATCTGTTAGGATTGATTTAATTTCTCATTTCACTTTAGTCACAGGCACCAGCCAGAGGGAGGATACAGACTCAAACCAGTCAGTACTTTGAGAGATACAACTCGGTGTATGGACAAGTATGATGTCATTTTTTCTTTTCTTTTCAGAAAAGTTAAACATTTTACATCAGATAACTTTTTGATATTTAAGTAGCAATTGCCTGTGTAACCTAAGTCAATTGAACAAGTACACAAGGGCAGGGCTGGACTTTTGCACACACTGGTGCTACAGAGGTTGAAAGTTTTGTATAGCACAGGCCACACAGTGTAGCACAAGTATAAAAAACGTGTTACCATCTCTGAAAACAGCCACGAGAAGTGCAGCCCATCACCTAAACAGGCATGTGACTGACAAAGGGCATTAATCTTCCATACAGGACACACAAAATACAAACCTTAACCAGAAATATTTTCAGACACATTTTCTTTATTTGCCAAAAATGGCAGACTGCAGGAAAATGGCATGCTCTTGCTCAACATTAGGTCATTTTCGTTTATATAGCCCAATATCACTAATCACAATCCAAACAACATCCATTGTTTTGGCTGAGCACTTGAAAATACAGCTTAATATTCCTATTAAAGCAGCACTAAGTAAGAATTCCGTTTTTGTCAAACAGCGACCCCTAGAGTCGCTGTGGAGTACTTGTACTGTCGTGAATAGCACTCACGCAGAGATGGCTCGCACTCACGGCCGGATCCCCTCCCCCTGTACACCGTTACCTGTTCAGTAGGATGGACGCTGTAACGAGTGGAAATAAGGTATGGCCCCTTTAAGAGTTGCGCGCGCCCTGTTTAACTGTCGGCAGTCTGTATTGTATGTGCGCCTCGAACACCACATGTATACGGCGCCGGGTTATTTCTGTTTGATGCTCATTTTATCAGAATTTTATCAGATCTGTTTTTTGCCGTAAAGCAATTCATTACCTCGCGAGACCTGATATCACACGATACTTCCTAATACTGAGGGCGGCGGCTCGCCGGCCCAAAGTTGCAAGGGTGGTTTTGCGGCTCACAGGCACCAGGGGGGTGCGAGACGACCACCATTAAACACGAAATCAGTAATATAAACATGACAATGACTCCAAAGCTGTTCGGTTAAGGTAAAAAAAAGTTACTTAGTTCACCTTTAATCATTAGAAAGTTCTAAAGTTTTATCAAATATTATGATACAAATCTGTGACGGTAGTTTCTTAATTTTTGTCAGGAAATCTTATGCATCCACTGAGCGAAAAAAATAGATTTGCATTTGTTTATTTCAAACATCTCTAGAGAGTTTTTTTTTAACCCAAAATAGGGTGTTGTGAGCATTTTTGAGTACATGCATGCAATGTAATGTATGTTTCATTCATACTTGCAGTCGGAAAGCACTCTCGTGCTGAAAGACAAGTGAGACTCAAAGCCATAAAACTTATGATAAAAAGGCATTCAGATATCGCTGTAGCAGAAAACAACACATATAGACATGTTTTGACTGATGAAACAGGAAGACAATAAATGGTTTATCTGTGTTCTTCTAGCAGGTATTTTCACAAAAATAAAGTATATGTATAATGCAATGCTAATCGACATAGTCTTTATCACTGTATAGAATACTATAAAAAAATATATAATTTGGCTTCATTCTATGATATGAAGCCACTTCAGGTAAGATCACAAAATGAAGTTATATCAAACACTCGAAGCTGACAATACGAAGTGAGTAATAAAAGCATGTCATTAAATGTTCTCTTTTGTTGGATATGTCACACTGTACAGCCAATGTATGTCACATGTATAACACCCTTGCTGTGTAATTGGAACATTGTGGTCAAACCATTTAAAGTGTTCTAACGGAGCTCGCTTGACCAATATTTTTTTTTTTTTAATATAAAATTCTCTATGTGTCATGACTCATTGCACACAATAAATTATGATGTTTACGGAAACCTCAATATCTTGGCTCAAGGTGGTCCTTACCCCCATGAACATGAACTGGTCTTTAGAGCACATTACAAGGTGCATGCCCACATAATAAGTCTGCTCATCTTTGTTTCTTAGAATTAACTTTTTCTTTTCTTCTTCTTCTTCCTTTTTTTTTTTGATAAGCATGAGAGTGCTTTTTTAGGTGGGGGGCCAGATAGTAATTCAGCTGCTGCATTCAGCACTCAGCATTCAGCATTCAGCTCTAAATTGCTAAGTTTAAGATTCCATTGTTTACAGAGTAAGCGTTAGTAGAAATCGGGAGGAGAGCCCACTTTACTCATGCATTTTGAGAACTTAACAGATAGTGTTTCTCAGGCAGGGGGGGCTGGGAGCCACTAGGGGGAGCCACTAACTTCTGAGAAGGACATAAAAAAGTAATAGCATCTCCCCCTTTGTTCTAGACAATATTCAAATGTCCTTTTATCTAGGCTGATTCATACTTCTACAGTTCTGTAGTAATAAAAATAAGTAAAACATGTCAGTTTAATGTTAGTATATTGAAAAAATATATATTGAGGTTTCCGTAAATATCTGTTGTACGCCATGAAACAAGGACAGCTACTGTGGTTAAACCAAGTAAAGTCATATTAATTGCAATGCTCCCGAATAAATTTTAGACCACTTGAGATGGACTGATCCAGTGGTAGCGTATGTGATAAATATAACAAGCTAAATGGGGAAAAAATGGTAATGTAAATAATGTATTTTGTGAACTTATTTCTAAATGTGAATTTTTTTATTGTAAAGCATATTTTGGATGATTGTACATATGTAAAACCATGATTAAAAAAATAAATGAAATATCTTTCTACCTTTCTGTCAGACAGTGCATTAGTGAAATAAATCCAGTCTATGAGAAATTATTACAACCAAAATGTTACTGATTTTGAGTGTTACCAATATAAAAGACAGAAAAGACATGAAGTAAAAAAAAAAATGAACATAATATTTTATATTTTTTTAAATTACATTTTACAGTAAAGTTAATATAAGTGCACATACATTTTAGTCCAGACCAGTAAGCTATTTTAAGGGGGGAAAAAATTATATTAAGATATAAATTAGATAATTAGATCATCTCATTCATTAGAAACAACTCAAACCAGAATCTACATTCAAACCATATGGGAAAAGTTTTTAATGTGGGTTTTATCATGTATGACGTTGAAAATAATCAAAATATTTGAGTGAGTGTGCAGTTCAACTTTTTACTTGGAGAGAGAGATTTACATACATCTTCAAATGTATAATATGTCTATTATAAATATGTCTTTTGTGTGTTCACACCATAGACTGTAAAAAAAACAAGTTCACGTATTTTCAATATCTATAATGTTGCTCGAGAAAACATGTGGAGTAGGCTATGTTTTAATGCAAGGAGTAAACAGGGTCTTACCAGAATCTCACGCAGGCTAAAGACAGGCAACAAAAGAAAATTAAAAAGAAAATTAATTTTTAAATGAGTAGAGAAGACTATGGGGGCAGCTAAACCTACGTGGTAAACGTGGTAAGCTAAATTTCAGCCAGATAGAACATAAACCTGACCGTCAAGAACTTTTTGTCTATCGAAATAAATTATAGACCCACCCGTTGATATATAGAAATGAATTGATATCTACTTACCCTATAGCTCTATCGAGCTAATCGTTTATAAATAATAAATGTTGCATCATTGATAAACAACAATAACTTTAGCAGATTATTTAACATAGCCTACAAATGACAGAATTATCATTTTTTGTCCGATTTTCATTCTAACTGTCACAATTCCAGACTCTGGAAGTTCCCTCTCTAGTCACCAGAGGGCGCCCTCGCCCGAATATTAACTCCCTTCATTACATTCATCTCTCACAGCCGCTCTGACTCTAATCACCTCCTCCAGCTGTTCCCCATCTCCTGGGCTTTTCATATCCTCAAATGGTTTGTGAGACTCTGAATGTCACGCGTACTTGAGTTGTAGTAGACAAAGCGGCGCAGCTCAGCAGAATAGGGTTATATTTACATGCAGTATTTTTGTGCTAAGCTTAAATATTCACAGACCATGTCGCGATTGGATTTATTGCACAGTTCTACTTTCCATGTATTCATGATCATCCATCCATTATTTTGCGTGTTGTACGTGACATCTGCGTTATGTAAATTTCATTTTCATGACTGGATTCCGGGGTTCCCTCTGCATCACGTAAATCGGGACATACCTTTATCTGCAGGGGGGATGGTGTCCTATATCCTCCTTTTGCAGCCACTTTGCGTCCACATTTGTTGCAAATTGGATATCTATCCTCGAGGACAACCACGCCTTTTTTCTACAAAGTATTTTCATACTGGCCATAATTCGCTTGGCGCTTCGGTTTCAGCTTCAGCTGGGTCTGCGTCACCTTTTTTTGCGCGTATGTTCTCCCGCCCTTCAACCAATGCAGTAGTTTCCGGAGTGTTTTTTTTTTTCTTTTATTATTTTTTACTCAGTAACGGATATGATTTCAAATGTAGCGAAGTACAATACTTCAAAGAAAACATACTTAAGTAAAAGTAAAAGTACAGATTTTAAAAACTACTTAAAAAAGTAGAAGTACACAAAAAAACTACTCAATTACGTAACGCGAGTAAATGTAATTCGTTACTTTCCACCTCTGGTACATGGTGACCATAAAGGGATGGACATGGTCAGAAACAATGCTCAGGTAGGCCGTGGCATTTAAACGATGCCCAATTGGCACTAAGGGGCCTAAAGTGTGCCAGGAAAACATCCCCCACACCATTACACCACCACCACCAGCCTGCACAGTGGTAACAAGGCATGATGGTTCCATGTTCTCATTCTGTTTACGCCAAATTCTGACTCTAACATCTGAATGTCTCAACAGAAATCGAGACTCATCAGACCAGGCAACATTTTTCCAGTCTTCAACTGTTCAATTTTGGTGAGCTCTTGCAAATTGTAGCCTCTTTTTCCTATTTGTAGTGGAGATGAGTAGTACCCGGTGGAGTCTTCTGCTGTTGTAGCCCATCCGCCTCAAGGTTGTGCGTGTTGTGGCTTCACAAATGCTTTGCTGCATACCTCGGTTGTAACGAGTGGTTATTTCAGTCACTGTTGCCCTTCTATCAGCTCGAACCAGTCTGGCCATTCTCCTCTGACCTCTAGCATCAACAAGGCATTTTCGCCCACAGGACTGCCGCATACTGGATGTTTTTTCTTTTTCGGACCATTCTCTGTAAACCCTAGAGATGGTTGTGCGTGAAAATCCCAGTAGATTAGCAGTTTCTGAAATACTCAGACCAGCCCTTCTGGCACCAACAATCATGCCACGTTCAAAGTCACTCAAATCACCTTTCTTCCCCATACTGATGCTCGGTTTGAACTGCAGGAGATTGTCTTGACCATGTCTACATGCCTAAATGCACTGAGTTGCCGCCATGTGATTGGCTGCTTAGAAATTAAGTGTTAACGAGCAGTTGGACAGGTGTACCTAATAAAGTGG